CAGACCGTATTCAATATATATAGTCCATCCCGACATAAAGGGGTATCGAGCTTGGCCGGCGGGATACGACGGAGCTCCTGCTTGCTAATCCAACAGCTTGAAGCTTGAAGCTTCACCTAGTACCGGATATTATGAGAGAAGTGACGGCATATGAGAATCATTTCGCTTCTAGCCAGATCAAAGCACCACAAGAGCACAAAGAGAAGATTGAATTGAAATATAATCGCTAACCTTCGCGGCGGCTACAGCAATGGAGGGTCCATTATTTTTTGCAGGTATTCGTGGTCAAAGAGTTCGAAGTGAGGCAAAGGCGGGCGAGGTAGGAGTATTTTGTTGACACAAAATAGACATCGGTGAATGATTCTCGCAAAAAAAGCGAAAAACCACAACGAAGATACGTGTAGAGACGCTTTCAAGAAAGAAAGGCGGTCCTTATTGATAAAGGGAAGCATCCAAGTCTCGTGTATGATGAGCTTAGTTCTACTGATATGGTAGACGTGGATAGGGGTCAATCTGCAATCAGTGGCAGTGTTTCCAAACACAGAAAACTATTTCAAATTTCCTTCCCTTCCGTCCACGACCTTCCTGCTTCTCTTCGTCGTTCGGCGACGTGATATATTACAAGGATTTATATATCCAACCTAAAGGGTCACTTTTGACTACTATCGCCCCAGTTTTCGGGGCTAACATCATCGAATCCGTGTTTGCTTTCTCTCTAAAATCATATAGAAGCACATGCCCGGTACAAAAAAGGGCTCCCGCCTGCGTCGTCTTTACCTTTCGAAAGGGCACCCATTTCTGAGAGATATGTTCGTGTGCCTTACGTTTAGAACGTTCGATATCGCAGAGGTGCGTTGTACCAATATCTTTTCTCAGAATCTGAACCCGACTCTTCTCGTACTCAAGACGTTGTTACTCTGCCATGAGTAGAAGATCTCTGATATTCCGGTCCTGGATAGTGGATACGAAATGGCATAAAAGTCTCTATGGGAGTTCGAGAAGATATATACGCTTTGATATGAAGAGTCGTGTGACTACACTATGCCCTCGTCGGAGTCTTGGTCTCATTTATACCTTCACAGGATAGCTCTAAGGGAGCATCGTGACGTCATAGTTTCTGTCTCATCTTGATGCCAGCTGAAGAATCCATGTCAGCAATACGTGCACGAGCCTCTACCGCAAACCAAGGAAGGGCAGATCGAGCTCAAATTTTCTCAGTGGAAGTTACGAGCTGCTTCGCCACTGCCTCCCTACGGTGAGAAAGCAAACGAGTTTGGCTCCTCCTCTTTCTTTCTAAAAGCCCTTCAGAAAAACTCGATTTGAACCAAAGTTAGTATCGTGTTGGTAACCAGTAGCAAGTTTCATTATAGGGCAGCTGCTGTTTCCGAGGGAATTCCGCGCGAGCCTTGTGTCTAACTCGTTTAATATGGCAGAGGTGCGTTGAACCAATGGTTGTTCTCAGCTTCCAAACTGAATGTCTTCTGACATCCAGACATCGGATTACAGATTCATTGTCTCCTAGTCCCAGACGTAGTATCCGAAGTGGCACAGAAATATGAGCTTATTTGTGGTAGAGTGAGAAAATATATGGCGCTCCAAAACGCTTCAATATCAGAGTCGCGGGCTGGGTTCTTTTCGTGAATCGTGAGCTAGACTATGCACTTGTCGTTATCATTGGCCTCATCTGTGTTTTCAGGGAACAACATTATGGGAGCGCTGCTCCTTTCAAGAAACAATCGGAATATGGTTACCTTGATGGCAGTTGCGAAGAATCTACGTCAAAAATGAGCTCTACCGCAGGAGACGCCAGACCGAGTCCAAACTCCCTCGGCGAAATGTTTCGCTCGAGGTATAATGGTCTTCAGTCTTCAGGCCCGTAATCATCTCATTCGCTTCAGATTCAGAATGCAGGGTATTCCGGGAAACTATAACAACGCCCTCTATCTCACTTCGACACCCTTCAGCTGTTCATGCGAATAAAGTCGGCCAGTATGTATATTGCTCCGTTTGTGGGCATTGTTTGACCACAGTTTCTTAGAAGCTGCGCTGAGAGAGGGCAGGGATTTGCATATGCCACTAAAAGCGAACCTGTGATGTACTCCTTTGTCGTCAGGATTACGGGGATTATCGTTGGTTGCGTATAGGAACCGGATAGTTTGCATTCTACGAGGGAAAGAGCAAAGCCGTCCTCGCATTATTGATGTCCTTGTGATATCACAGCGGCAGCACCTGGGCACTTGTAATAGGTCTGTTGTTTCGAATTACCATCTGAGCGCCACAGGGACGACACGGCTGGGGTAGGTCATCATCTCACCTCCTAGAGTTTATCTTAATATCGTTCCTTTGTAGTAGATGGGCGATACATGTTGCCGGCTGGGTGAATTATGATCACACAACAAGGACAGGATTTACTCGCCAGTCAACGAAACTCTAATTGTTGAGAGCAGGTTGCGTAGCGCGGCGGGAAAGCCAGGTCTGGAGTCGAAATTAAAAAGCTAGTAATTATAAATAGTATGTGATACATACCTGGAGTCGAAAGTCAAAAGCTAGTAAGCGTTGACTTTCGATCTCCAGTATTGGTAGCTATGATTATGTAAGGTAAGAGCGACATGGAGGGTGTGCTACTTCAACACTCCCCCTCGACCGAACATGTCTACGGAGGTATTGAGACAAGTCCGAGTAAGGTAATCATGTGTCTGAGCTTCTCTCTTCCTAATCCCTTTGTCAAGGCATCGGCTGGCATATTTTTGGTTTGTAAGTGGACCACATGGATGCGCCCCTTTTCAACTTCATCGCGCAGCCAATAGAATCGAAGGTCAAGGTGTTTAACCCGGCCATGATGTTCAGGGTTTTGAGCAACTGACAGAGCAGACTCGTTGTCGATATAGAGGACTGAGGCATTGGTGAGTGAATAGCCAAACTCTGTGAACAAGTTGTGAAGCCAAAGGATTTCCTGACCAGCAGATATGGCTGAAATGTATTCTGCCTCTGTTGTTGAGAGTGTCACAAATGCCTGAAGACGACTCATCCAACTAATGGCTCCAGTACCCATTTTGACAATGAAGCCACTTGTAGAATGCCCACTATCTTTGTCACCCCCATGATCTGCATCACAATAAGTCTTGAAGTCAAAGACTGATGAATCTGACTCAGAGTCAGGAGAGTAGACAATGCGATAGTCAACTGTGCCCTTCAGATAGTGTAATAGCTGTTTGAGAGCTTCCCAGTGGGCTGTGCCAGGGTTTTTGCTGAATCATGAGAGTATGCTCACAGGATAGGCAATATCAAGCCTGGTAGCAATAGTGAGGTAGGCCACAGAGCTGAGCACATTCAGGTATGGGATTGTCCACATTGTCTCATATTCCTCTGGTGTTTTGGGAGACTGATCTGCTGTAAGTTTTATGTTTGGATCCAAGGGTGTCAGAATAGGGTTGCAGTCAGCCATTCCTGCACATTGCAGAATATCTAGGGTGTATTGACACTGGGAGAGAGAGAGTGTTCAGTTGGCTTGATCACACTTGATCTCAACACCAAGGAGGTAAGACATTGGACCCAAGTCTCAAAGCTTGAAGTGCTTCTTGAGATTGTTGATGACCATCTGGTGTCTTTGTGGCAATAGTCATGTCATCAATGAAGACTGGAATGATGATATGCTCACTGTCCCTCTTGTAAACCCAGACACTATGCTTGCATTTTACCCATTCAAAACTCATGGCATTGGTCAATGTTGCATGTAGCTTTTTGTGCCATTCTCTCCCAGCTTGCTTTAGTCTATATAGAGACTTGAAGAGGTGCCAGACCCATTCCTTTCCTTTTTCCTCAAAACCTTCTGGCTGCTCCATATACACCTCTTCTGTCAGCTCACCATTGAGAAATGCTGATGAGATGTCAACACTCCATAGCTCTAAATCCTTGAGGGCACCAAGTGCTAGGACAGCTCATAGGGCAGCCCATTTTGGCATTAGAGAGAAGGTTTTGGTGTAATCAAAGCCAGGTCATTGTGAGTATCCCTTTGCAACAAGCCTTGCTTTATAGTGCTCAATTGATCCATCAGCATTGTGTTTCACTTTGAATATCCAGCGACTCCCAACTGCCTTTCGATTTGGAGGACATTTCACCAATTCAAAGACACCATTTTCAATGAGTGCCTGTATCTCTTGTATAGTGGCTTCATACCAACTTGCAGCTTCCTCTGAAGGATGTTTCATAGCTTCATGGAAGGATTTAGGTTCACCATCATGTGTGGATGCCTTGTAAGCTGCTTCTGTCATGCTCTCAAATGCAACTTCCAGTCCTTCCTTTATTGTCAGATGCTCTGTTGTCTGGCTGGAGAAGGCTATGCCTTCAAGAATAGTTTTATCTTCCATAAAGGCTGTGTGTGCTTGATCCTCTGCATCTCTTGCATGATCATCATTGTTGACATTTTGGCATATTCCACAACCATAACCAGGGCCAGGATCATATAAGCCATTGTCACATATTCTGTATTCATGTTTGCTTAGGTCTGTTGGAGATAGTGGTGATGGTGATGGAGTTAGGTCTGAGAGAGATCCATTGAATGGTGAGCCAGGAGGGGTCATAATATCATGAGGAAGGGGTGATACTGGAGGTGATAGGCTTGAAGGAGGTAAGAGATTTGGTGCTGGAGGATTTTCTGGAGGTGGAAGATCATTATTGTTAAGGTCTCCCCCTTGATCAGGCAGCATAGGAGAATCTGACAGATTTGAGAGTGAAGAAAATAGGTCACTGAAGGGGTTGATAGGAGTTTTTGTATTTTCTGGGAACACTTGCTCATCAAAACAACATGGCTTGATATGATAAGCTTCTTGGTGACAGGGTTCCAGCACTTCCATGCCTTTGTGCCTGATGGATATCTGATGAATATGCATTTAGTAGTGTGTGGCTGAAGGCCTTGTCACTTGTTCTTTTTAACATGGACATAAGCTAAGCAGCCAAAGACACACAAGTTAGAGATGTCAGGTTTCTTCTTATGCCAGCCAGTGTATAGTGTTGTTTTAGGAAGTGGTGCCATAGGGCAATAGTTGCACACATATACGAATGTGAGCACTGCTAGTCCCCAGAAGGAGGGAGAAAGATGGGCTTCATAGAGCATAGTAATAGCCCCTTCAGCAATATTGCGATTTGCATGCTCTGCAATTCTATTTTGATGAGGCTCATCAGGCTCAGTATGGTGTCTTGATATCCCTTCTTCTATGCATAACTGATCAAATTCATGACCCATGTACTCTCCTCCACCATTGTCTTGCTCCTCTAAGATCTTCAGACCATGAAAATTTTCAGCATAGGCTTTGTAGTGTTTAAATTCAGCCAGAGCATCACTCTTGTGCTTTAGCAAGGCAACAGCCCAAAAACACAGAGTGCCACATATAAATGTGATCCAGTAGTGATAACCTTCTGGCATATTGACTGGTATTGGTCTCTTAAGATCAGAGAATATGATTGCAAGAGAGCACATTGGAAGGGGTGAGGGCTCTTGAGGAATATTATGTTGTCTGCGCTTGCCCATAAGACAGGGTTCACAAATCGGGTCAGGATTGGATTGCATATTGTTCATCTTCATATTTAAGATAAGCTGATTCTCATACATGTCCTGGACAACATTTATACTTCTGTGACAGGTTCATCAATGCTATAGAGTCAGGTCAAGTGAACAGGTGCTCACAGTATTTGAGGTTACTGGCCTTGTAGTGCAAGTGGTGCCATTAAGATATCCAATGTTATTATTATTGACAGTGGCTGAGAAACAAAGTGCTTTGTCTTGAAAGAACTGGACCAATGACCCAGCTATGTTGATCTCATATCCCTTATGATGTATAAGATGGAAGGGTGAAAGCAAGTTATTGTGAAGATCAGATACATGCAGTACATCCTGGAACTCAACAGCCTTGCAGACCTCTCCATTCTTCTCTTTAGGCTCAAACATGACTGTCCCTATGCCTGCTGAATAGATGATTGAGTTGTCTGCTAACTGAATCAGAACCACATGTGGTGTCCAGACATGAAACCAGTCTTGATGATGGCTCATGTGAGCTGAAGCACCTGTGTCCATATTCCAGTTAGATGATGCTGGAGACAAGAGATCAATACTCACTTGGCTGGCAGTCTCTTCCACAATGTTTGACTTCTCTGTCTTTGCCTCTTCCACCTTCTTGCTTGATTTTGTATTGCAACATTCCTGGACATGCTGTATAGCTCACTCCTTGGCTTTCTTTTTGCTGAAACACTCCTCCTCGATATGTTCAGAGTTAGTGTGTTATGATTTTTCCTATTTTTCTTTCCTTTTTCCTTGATTTATTTGGGATTGACCTCTATTTCTGCTTAGTCAGAGTGCCTAGACCAGGTGCTTAGGATTATGGGAATGCTTAGTCATCAGCACCACTCTAATTCTGGTCGCTGCTGTAAAGTCATGCAACAGCACAATGACAGAGAAGCCTCTCTTATCTTTGTGCAGCAGTAACAGCAGTAACAGCACAACAGCAGGACAATACTTTTTGTAGGTATCTTAGTAACAGCTGAACAATATGCTACACAGCACCAGCAAGGATAATTAGGTAGTTATATTCTTGGAATGATAAGGATTTAGTATTTAAGTAGAGTAGCTCTCACTGTAATACTTCAGCTTCAAGCTAAAGTTTATTCTTCACCATCTACTCTTGAGTGACTTGCAAATACCTTGACTACACAACTCTATTGACACATCAGTGAACTCTGTCAGTCTAACCCAAAGTATGAGGTTCTGAACAGTTTATCACATGTTGATAGTCACATGGAATTTGGGCTTAACAATTAGCTTCCCTTCCTCAAGCCCAATTGTGCTGAGAAACTGAATGCCTCCCACCCTTACCCAAATTTTACTCACAAGTTCTTTGAACTCTTTGCTTCTATCATAGGAATCTTGATTGGTCTATTGGTGATCATACAGCTGTGCCATGGATGCCAATCAATCACTGCTTGGGCAATCAGGCACTATCATGAATTCCAATGCATTCAAATCATCCTCTGAAATGTCACACCAGACCTCCCCCTCCATAATATCCCTGCCTCTGCCTGACCCTCAACAATCTGACACTCCCTCCAACCTGAAGAAGGAGTTGCACCTGAAGCTGTCTCTGGGAGCTTGGCT